ACTTTGAATGCTTTAACAAGGAGAAGAATTAAAGAGAGAGAGAAATGCTATGTAATAGATTCTTGGGGGATATGGAATTTACCTCGTTCAGATAGGCACAGATGAATTATGAAGGTTCTTCGTTGCAAATTAGATTATTTTGCCCCACTGGTGCCAATTACTCTTAGTACAAAAGGAGATGATACTAGCTAAAACATAACTTAAGTCACCTTCTACTCTGTCAAAGTATCACTCTATAATGAAGTTGTGCATGGATGGTTTATATCATTATTCTGACAGCTGGTTGAAAGTGCAAGTATGATACAATGGCAAGATCTGCAACTCTGCAGAGGAACACAGTTCTCATGTGGAACAATCTCACTGAAGAGTTTGAAACCTGTATAACCCCAACTCAATTCAAAACCCCCTTCCCCGCTGGTGATCCAAAACAAGCTTATCAATCCCCCACCTCAATACAAAATAGGGCCACCTGGCCCTTTCTTGCAAGACAAAGCTTATCAGCCTTTTCTCACCCATGCTTCAAAACAGACTTCAGAAAAAAAAGGGCTTATCGAGACTCACGTGGGATCAAACAAACTTTCCTCAAGTGATTCTGTGGTTCAAGAGATGGGAGAACTGCCCACAGTGAAACTGTGAAAGATCAGGGGATGGAGACTGGTGAGATTCCTGAAAGTAACCGGAGGTTCTCTCCTTCTATCGACTTCAATAAGTCAAAGGAAGTAAGGGACTGTTCCTCTGATTTTTCCACCAAACCTCCTGTCACCTAGATCGTTCATACAACATGCACACAGATCCACAGAGCTCCTCCCTTATGGGCCCAAGGATGTCTGCAGGGAGAGGCAAGTAGCCTAATTTCTGAAGAGGAAAAAGGGAGTTGGGAGAATTTTAATGCATCTTCTAAAGAGAAAATACCCAAAGCATTTTTACCAAGAAAATTCCTTTTACACTGAGAAGCCTTCTTCATAATCTAATTATATTTTAAATGTTGTCCCTCTACAGAACAGGGCTACACTTTAATTATTTTAAATAAGAGTTTAAGTTTCTCTCGCTAACTGCCAAAACACAATACCAAATTGTGATCCTAATCAATAGCCTTCAGCAAGAGGAATCCAGTACAACTAGGTTTTTGTTTTGTTTTGAGGTTGGTGGGGGTTCTTTTTTGTTGTTGTTTCTGTTTACTTGATTGATTGGTTTGTTTTTTTGCTACAACTTGGTTTATTACTAACAATTTTGGAATTATGTTAAATAGCTCTACTTTTTGGCCACATGTTTTAGCCCTATTCATTTCAAATTTTACAAACAAATTCTGCTCTGCCCTAGATCGAACCCACCAATTTTGACTAATGACTATTTTTTGGGGGGGTAGATTTTAGAGAAGGAAGCTGAACTGGTCATACAGGTCCGGCACCCTCGAGACCTAACTGGTCCTAAATGAGGGAATTTTCTGGACCAGAGGAAGTCCCCTACCACTGGACTCCTAGCCCACCTTCCCCCCTCTCTTTCTCCCCCCCGCCAGCTCTGCTTTTGGCCCCACTGCCATGGTTCTCCTTGGCCGCCGCTAGCACTGGCTGGAGCTCCCTGCGGCCACCAATCCCAGCTGGGGCTCCCACTTCCATCCAGGGTTCTTTGATCCAGCAACACCCGTGGTTTGTTATCAGACCAAAGAGTCCCGGATTTAGGAGATTCAACGTGTATAACTATTGCTCTTTAACTGCTACATACATAGATGTTCACACTGACTGAGCTGTTTTATCAGAGAAAAGAAATTAAACAATACATTTTCCCTTCCCATCTAAACAAAAATGGGCAAAATATTCTCCAAAAAAAAAGACTTCATGAAATACGTTTTTATATTTCATTATGAACATAAAGTTGGCCCCATTTTGCAAAAATGTCACAAGTGGCCCTATTTCAAGCAGCAGTCATTTCCAAGAGGGAAATTGTGAATCCATTTCAAGAAAAAGTGAAATTTTCATATTTTAGTTTTGAAATTAGTCATGTTGTCAAATTTCACAGCAAAGCAGACGTTGAAGCACATAAAGGAGGCACAGTTTTCAGATGAAATTTTGTGAAAAAAAGTTATGATTTTTTCACAATTTTAGCCTAAATCTTTCACCAATCCTCATGACATGGGCATGAATAAGTCAACAAGAAGCATAATAATGAGCACTATCTCCTTTTCTTTATTTTCTTGATAACCTTCGACAAAAAACTTATAGGACACTCCTTTTAAAAGCTGCATATGAAAATTAAATCAGGTCCAACTTATGTGCCTTTTAAAGATGTGAAGACTAGATGATGCTGTGGAAAGCATACAGATAGCTTTACAGATCTCATCAGCAGGTGCTTCCCCATCACACTGAACTGATTTTTAATTCCTTCAGAAAGGGGCCTGTCACTGTTCTTGTGTAATTTACGGAAGCAGTTATACTCTGTTCATGCCTGAAACTTTAATTGTCTCTATATCTTAGATGGAAAAATACTAGTTGTTTGACGTGCTTTGTTTCCTTCAAACTGATTCAACAGCCCCTTCCATTATCCATCATCAGGCTCCTTGTGCTCTAGAGTGGAATGGAAAAATGGCAAGTTCTCTCTTCTGAGGACTGTGGAAAGCTGAATTTACTTTAGTTATATATTCCAATATAACTTGTTTTTGTTGAACTTACACAACTCATAAAAACATATTTTAATCTATAGATCCAATGACTGAGTTGCTCGAGTTACTTTTCGGCAACATAGCTATTATTTAAAAAGATACTTTTAATGTACAGAAAATTAGACAAACTGCAGAGCCACAGCAGCCCCTTATTGATTAATCATGTACATGATGCAAATTGTATTGAGTACGCGATTAGTCAGTTACTCGATACTTAACACCTTTAGTTCCAGAGTATTTAACTTGTGTCTGGATATAAAGGCAAAGTGATACATGGAGCGAATCTAAAACTGGAATTTCTGGCATGCAGGAAATAATGTCATTAGCTTTTGTCCCAATTCAGAAAAAAGTCAAAATAGTAAAACTTTTTGTTTTGACAGTCCTATATCAAAATGTTTCATTTCAGGTCAACATGAATCTCTCTAGCCACTTGAGCCAATGAAGTTCCTTGTGTGACTTGCAGTTCACTGTCCTTCCTCAAACTATCCTCCTGAATTAGTTCTTATTCCACTGCCCAGGCACTCCATCTTCCATAATGCACTAGGATCTCTTCCTGTGGCTGAAACACAGCAGTACTTAATCAACTCCCATGAGGCTCCAGGCTTTCTTTCCTCTCTCTGGTCCTTCACCCTGCCTGCCGCTTAAAGTCCCTGGCTCCACCTTCTAATGTCCTCATATGTTTTTTTTAGCCATTTTACATTTTAAAGGTGAAGGTGCAAAGGTTGAAAAAATATAACAAATGTAGTTCCATGTAATGCTTTAGTTGCAGAAAAACATTTAACTCTAAATTCAGCTGTGGGCAGATAAAAAGCCTTCCAGTTCACTTTTAAAAACAAAACATCTTAATCAGAAGAGCTGAGTAAAAATAAGCAACAGATATGGGAATATAGTGACTCAGTAAATTTTCAAAAGCCACAGCTTGTTCCTCTATAACCCAGTATTTGATACAATTGCAACATTACACCTTGTACCTTTACATCTCAAAAAACTTTCAAAACTGCTAACGGACTAACCGAAAAAAAACTTAACTCGACATCAAGAAGAGAGCAATACTTCTTTAATATTGAAAAATACTAATTTCTGCTGATTCATTTTTGTTTAAAAATACACTGTCATTCTCAAGGACAGCACAAGCTGTGTATGCATTTTTTGTGCAGAGCTTACAGAATTCTGTTCATCGCATATTTAATACTTATTTTATTCCCTCATTCTTTTCCCTCAGCTATATCGCAACATATAGTGGCAAACCTCGGCACTATAGGAGTCTTGGGCTATGTCTAGACTGCAAGCCTCTTTCAAAAGAGTGCCTGGACTACCACCAGTACTTTCAAAAAAGCAAGCCACTTTTTCGAAAAAGAGCACCCAAGCAGTCTGGATGCTCTCTTTTGAAAAAGCACAGTTTGTGTTACATAGCACCTTTTTTCGAAAGAGCACTTTCGAAAAAAGGCGTTATTCCTCGTAAAACGAGGTTTTCTATGGTTGAAAAAACTGCCGGGTTATTTCAATTTACTTTTGATTTACAGCAGTCTAGATGCAAGTAAAGATTTTTCAAAAAAAGGCCACTTTTTTCGAAAAATTCCTGTAGTCTACACTCTAGACACACACATACTCTTTTTAGAAGTACAGACAGCAGCATTTTTTATGTCAACGTATTGCCACAGTTGGGGAGATATGGTAGAGGTAGTGCAACTGAAAAGAATGAGACAGAAGCTGAGTCTCTAATTAAAGCTGCTTTATACCTCTAATCTTACCTACCAATGAAATAAAACACCAGTTGTAAATGAGTTTCTATATGGATTTAATTTGCTGTTCCTTCAGGATACAAGAACAACTTGGAACCAACTTCTGGATGAAGAACCACCCACCAGCACTTCCCACCTGCCAGAGGACCCACTGATCAGCTTCTCCTTCTTCCTCCCAGTGCCTCCTACCTGCCACTATTCAAAGGTGGGGGCTTGGGAGAACTGGTGGAGTGAGGGGTAAGGGGCAGAGCAGAGGTCAAACACCCCTCAGTAACAGAAGTGAGCATCTATATTCCTTAGGACCCAAACTAAAATTTCTATTTCTATTTTTCATCTTTACATGAAAGTATTGAAGAACAGAACATATCGTTTCTTAAAGAAAACTAGATTAATACACCTAATTTAGGCAAGCTTTCCATCTTTCACGCATATTTCAATATATCAAAGTGGCAGTATATTAATGGGTGGTGGTGTAGTTTACCAAAGCTCACAGGATTCTACTTGCCCTATGCTACTGCCCTCTCCCTTAAAAAAGTGCTCTATTTTCAAAGAGACAGTCCACAAATAGCAGGAAACAAAGAAACCCAGAATCATACACTTACTTATTCAATGTGAGGTCAAGGATGAATATGGAACCAAAGGCTTCAATCTGGAAACTTGCCTGGGCCAGATGCACAGCCTGCAGACATGGGGGAAAAAAAACCCTTTACTTTTACTATATGTTTAAAATAAGTCATATCAAAGTCTGTCTTTTTATTACAGTATTTTGTACAATATGATACAACTTATTTAGGACTCCCATATAAATGTTTACATATTTTTATAAATCCCATAATTTAGATCTATATAGTAATAGCATAACAAGAAGTACCTACTACAGTATATACACAGTGTGCTAATTTTATTCAGCACGTAGCACTCATTTTAAAAGAGTGAATAATTATAATTAAGGCCTTTGTAATGCAAGTATGTGCATACAAATTCACAGCAAGGCTCATATGTACAGAATGCAGGACTCCTTCAATAGATCAAAAACTTTGGATTTGTGGATGTAGCCATGCTATTGATTACTAGGTCAACGATTTTCAACCTATTCAAATTTCAGTTTTAACTTTAAATTAGACCTAGTTGCCAAAAACAGAATGGCTTTAATTCTCTAACCTGAACTCTCAAATAAATGTTCAATATTGATCTAAGAGAGATTAACAATATCTGCAGCATATTCATGCATTACCTGGAAAACCAGGTTCACAACAAACTACCTTGTTTAATAAAAGATCAAAGTTTCAGGGCAACTGCACCTGTACTCACCTTCAATGGTCACTCAAAAGCACCCACTTAAAAGTTTCCAGCTCCCACATATCACCATCCTCAGGCAACTCACTCACTCCTGACTACTGGCTTTAAAGCTTCATTGCTCCTGGAAGTTACACTATAATAGTCCCAACTGGTAAGAGAGTGTCTGCACTTTGCTTTCTCTCTGAAGGCTATGAACAAGATAACAACATCGAATCATAGAATCCTAGAGTTGGAAGAGACCTCAGGAGGTCATTGAGTCCAGCCCCCTGCCCAAGGCAGGACCAAACCCAACTAAATCAACCCAGACAGGGCTTTGTCAAGCTGAGACTTAAAAACTTCTAGGGATGGAGATTCTACCATCTCCCTAAGAAACCCATTCCAGTACTTCACCACCCTCCTAGTGAAATAGTTTTTCCTCATATCCAACCTAAACCTCCCCCCTGCAACTCGAAACCATTGCTCCTTGTTCTACCATCCGTCACTACTGAGAACAGCCTCTTTCCAGCCTCTTTGGAACCCCCTTCAGGAAGCTGAAGGCTGCGATCAAATCTCCCCTCACTCTTCTCTTCTGCAGACTAAATAAGCCCAAATCCCGCAGCCTCTCCTAGTCATTTAGATTTTGCACATCCTTTAGAGTATGTCTACCCTAGCCCCCTAGTTCGAATTAGGGAGGCTAATGTAGGCATTTGAAGTTGCAAATCAAGCCCGGGATTTAAATATCCCATGCTTGATTTACATATTCCCGGCCGGTCACCATTTTTGAAATTTACAAGTCCGGACTAACTGCCTGCGTTTACACGCGGCAGAGACCCGGTATTTCAAATTAAAACCCTAAATCGAACTACCTGTTATTCCTCCTGTGAGGATGGAATGACTTTGCCAAGAAGAGGAAGTGGTGGAAGGCATATAAGAGACTGTGGGCCCAACTGATCATCATGGTATCCCCCATGGAGCCCTTGCCCAACCTCACCTTGGAACAATACTTGGGGCATTTGGTATTGTGTAATGTTGCAAATAAGTCTATTTCCACAAAACACCACTTGAGGCAGACATATATACGGCTTGAAGATGAATCTCCCATTTGTATTGCTTGATTAAATACGTGGCAGATGGTCTGCAGTGATGTTTTGGTTGTCTGGGAGATAGGGTGATGTGGTGGTGAATGTACCACTGCCATAGTGTTGCTGCCTCTCTGAAGAGGGTATTTGATCTCACCCTGCCTTGGCGATTTATGTAAAACATGCAGGCAGCGTTGTCTGTGAGTATCCTCAATGACTTGCCCTCTTCCATTCCTTGTCATAAGGGGTGGATTTATATTGTGTTTACTTGCCTCTGTTGTTGGCTGCATCAATGACTAAGGAATTAGGTGGTGGCTGCATGAACAAAAATTCAGTCCCTTTCGCTGGGACATAATACTTCCTGTCTGCTCTTTTTGATGTTGGGGTGATAGATGCTGGCGTTTGCCATAGAATTTTTGCTGGGTCCAATATGGCCTCATTGACTGGCAGTGCAATCTTCGATGAAGGTAAGGTCTGCAGTATGTTGGTGAGTTTGTTCCACAAACATTGTCTCAGGCACCTCGAGCAATGAGATGTCGAGGGTATTATCCACCCTTTTGTATAAGTCTTGAAAAGACTTGAAGTCATCCCCCACAGTTGGTGGAGGAAGCATTATTGTCTTATCGGGAAAGAGGACGAGATGTGCGAGGGAGGTCTCCCTAAGAGTCATCCAAGTCCTATAGCTCATCCAGATAACCTCAGATCTTGCAGCTGTAGGTGACCTGCGGGCCACTGTCAGAGTCCAGGGTGGCGGCATCAATTGAGGTACCAGTATGTGAGTCTTTAAGGTATCAAAAGGGTCCCATCCCTGCCAAGGTTGTGGAATCAGGATGGAGGAAGCCATGGAAAAGACTGCCACATCTGGGGCTGAGCCATCTGCTGCTGTAGCTGTATTTGTGCAGCTAGCTTTGGCGTTTAATGTAGTGAGAAGAATGTGATCTCATCATCACTATTGCTGGAGAAAGGGGTCACCAAACTCAATGGTGTAGCGAGTCTACTTCTTCCCTCCAGTGTTGGTGTGTCGTCGGTACTGAATAAGGGTGTGCCCGGTACCGATGTTATTGTTAGCTCCTGATGGGCAGTCAATGGTCTTCGCAGAGCAAAGGTCAGTACCACCAGTGCCATAAATTGTCCATGCATTAGGGAGTCTGCCTGTGCCCTAGCTGTAGACGGTATCGGAGAGACTTCTATACTTGGGGCCAGTACCGACGTGTTGGTGTGTCGTCGGTACTGAATAAGGGTGTGCCCGGTACCGATGTTATTGTTAGCTCCTGATGGGCAGTCAATGGTCTTCGCAGAGCAAAGGTCAGTACCACCAGTGCCATAAATTGTCCATGCATTAGGGAGTCTGCCTGTGCCCTAGCTGTAGACGGTATCGGAGAGACTTCTATACTTGGGGCCAGTACCGAC